GATGCCTAACGACGTGAAATATTATTTTGATCTAATCAAAATTGTATTTTAATTTATCGTCAATTCACACTCGCCGTCCCTGATTGACATCTAACAATGTGTCAGGACAATACATGTGACGGAAAATGTCACATGGTATGACAAAACTAAATTCGTTCGTTTACCGTGAAACTATAATCCCTTCGTTAATATGATCCGATTAATTACGAGATATGGAATTGTGTCAATCTCGATCATCGATCATATCTTTCACTCCACTATTAAGTCAATATAAGTCGAAAACTCTTTTTCGACTTATGAGTACACCTTGGCCAAGGATTTCATCATCAACTTAATCGAATGAAACGCAGATCATAATCTCCTACTATCTAAGAGTGACGAATTCTTTATTTATCAATCACAACCTTCATACGATTCTTGACGTACCCGAACGATGTCGTATTAACGGCCCTTTTCAGATCAACATCCAACACCGCCAAAGTATGACTGTCCTCATATAAGGTACCATGACGACCTCAAGTCAAAGGACCAATTCCACTATCGAACGTTGGAGATTAACCACTGACACTCAGATAGTTATCCATGTGGAATCTCTCGACGGGTCTCCAATATTTTGTTCTCTAACAAAACATCCACGTGTTCACTTAAGTGTCACCACACTTTAACTTGTGAGATCAGCTACTTACTTCACAAGTAAGAAATGCCACACGTGATGGTCTATCCGTAATAACGATATCCGTATCTCATTATTACTTACGACCATGGATGATTTAAGATTCAATCAGATGTAATTTGTATCTCACAATCACAACTCCTTGTGATTAACAAATTACAAATGTTTGAATCTACGGACTCTATTATTTATTAAATTGTCTATTAATTAAATAATAGATCTACCATTTAATTACATTAATTATATATAAAAGTATTTATGTCCAAAGTTGATTAGACCTAGGACATAATACTTACAAATGTATCCTCAATGACTCTTTGATCACCATTTGCAGGTAATTTAGTTTCTGAATATCAGTATTTGAGAATTTTTCGTTTTCTTGCCTCACTTCTATTTGTGCCTTTCTCATCACTCTTGGATTCTTCATCAATTCTGCCATTGTCCATTCTACTACGGTGGATGATGTATCTGTTCCAGCGGTGAAGAGTTCCTGCAAGTTATTGATAAGAAAAAAGTGAAAAAGAGCAAAGGAAGAAAACATCTAATATAAGATCTTCTTACAAAAATGTTGGCTTTGATGATCTCTCTTGTAATATCAATCGGAAATTCATTATCTGCCTTGAGGCGTAGGAATACGTCGTGTAAATCTTCTTCAAATGGCTCGTTCCCTGTCAAGGTTAGTCGATCCTTCTCGTGTTCTTGGATTATGTCCTCTAGAATATTGTCGACCTTCTTATGCAACTTAGCCAATTTCCTTTTCGACCCAAAGAGGGAGTCGAGTAGTTGCAGCGAAGGAAAAACATCTCCAGCATTAAAAACTCCTGCAAATGCTATAGCTTCTTTTGCCAAACTTGATAAAGTTTCTTGATCTTTGCATCTTCGACCAACTGCAGCCCTACATGAGTGTTCATTTATTTAATAATACTCAAAAATAAAGAAAAAGAACATAGTATGAAGGTGCATATGACCTCACCTGCAAGTAACTGCACTCGTTACAGAAGAAACTTTTTCAGTCAGATTAATTGGAAATCCTTCTAAAGATCGAATATAGGCAACAAGATTCGACACTTCTTCCTCCATAATTGTGTAAAATGATTTTACCTTTTTCGAGCTTAGAAGTTTCATAATGAACAATTTACGCATCTCTCTCCAGTATTCACCATATGGAGAAGAAGAAAGATTTACATAATTGTAAAAAACGATCTTCGACAAGAGAACCTGCGGTCTATCTGCAAATGCAAGATCATTCTTTTTCAAGGCTTCTTCTGCTACGTGAGGAGATGATATAACGATTGTAGAGAGTTCACCAATCTTCAAATGCATGATTGGACCATATTTTTGTGCTAATTTTTGGAGAGAACGATGTGGTAATGAACCTAGAAATTGATGCAAGTTTCCTACAAAAGGGAGTTTCCATGGTCCAGGGGGCAATTTCTTAGCAGTTTTTGATGATCTTTCGTACTCCTTAATCAACAAGAAAATAAAGAACAAGAGTATTAGAAAGAAAATGGTGAAAGAAAATGGGAACTGCATTGAAGATAGTGAAAGATTATTTCTACTTGCTAGTATCAGTTGACCTGTATATTTATAGACATGAATGTGTTACACACTCTCAATTTTGGGTTCCTACACGTGTTTACAGCTTTGTGTGTATAACGTTTTGAAGTGAAATGCCATAACAATGTGTTTGGTATGACTAAAAATCAAAATTTTAGTAGATTGTGATAAAAGTTGATGAAAAGTATGATTGAAAATTAAATAAAAAATTGCGGGTGTCATAAAAATGTATGATTAAAATTAACTGTTAATTTTGATTTAAATTTTTATCAATTCAAAAGAAAAAAAATGTCAGTTCTAAAAAAACTTTACTTTCAATATGCTATTTCTATGTTTTTTCTCAAGCTTAAAGCATCTCTAATAGTAGTTAATAAGTGCGTTTCGTGCATTTATTTGGGTTATATTACTAAATTTTTATGTCGTCAAATTATTGAATTTTACTTGGTTTATTTATTTATTTTCAGTATTTGACACGTTTTGAAATAGTTGGAAAAGAAAGAATGATTAATTGGCCATTGGATGGAAAGTTTGGGGGATCAAATTCTATACTTTAGAAATTGAAGGGTTTGAATTGAAATAAAGAGAATATGGACTACACAAATAAATTTTTATCAAGGACTAGATTTTATTAAATGGAAAAAGTGCAGCCTTGATGAGAAATATTTCACTAATTGGGCTTCAAACTAATTTGACATGGGATAAAAGTTTATTTGGGCTGGACTTCTAATTGGACCAAAACATTTGTTGCTTAGATTGATATATATACATACTGAAGGATTAAAACATTGGTGGCTGTGAGGGAGTTTTAGCCCCTGTTTGTCATCCATTATTTGAGAAATTAAAAGCTTTTAAAAATATTTTTTAGAGAATGTGTGGTTAAAAAATAAAGAAATTTTATTGATTCGTGTGTAAAATGTTTTATTGTGTAAATGTGTAGTGAAGAATAATACTTTAACAAACAACGTAAAATTTTAAAGGGGCCCAACAGGTACTTAATAGGAGAGGAAGACAACTGCTTTTGGGAAGAAATTGGAGTTCTTTTTGGGATTCCTTTAGGCACATACAGACGTCAAATACAGAATTAAAAGGGCAGATTACGTAGAAGAGGTCTTCTACACAAACAAGGCTGAGCCACCTCAGCCCTTGTCAACAAGGTTGTCACTATGCCCTGTTCATTTAGAATTTTTCTACGTAGAGATACATATGAGATAGAATTGAAAAAAAAAAAAAACAGACGCGTAAAGACGACAGTTATTGAAGAAATAATTTTCGAATTTCCTTGTCCAGTGATTCATCAACAATTTGTGCCAGGAATTTGGATACTAACCACGTTCCACCATTTTTTGGTGATATTATTCCACTTTTATGTGTTTAATTCAGACATTATAGTAGGCTAAATAATTTTAGGCTCCGTTTGATTGCACGAAATTTTCCATGGAATTTGGAATTCGAATTCCAACTTCCACTTTTGGCCTATTTGATTGACAAAATTTTTCAAGGAATTGATTTTCCATGAATTTCTAGGTATAACACCTTAAAGCATGATTTTCTACCTTTTATTTTTCTAGGGGTAGGTGGTTTTTGGTTTTCCACTTTTTTGTTTTTTTGCTTTTTATTTTTTTTTTATTTTTTATTGTTGACAATGGGATACAAATTCTAGGAATATTTGTAAAAGAGGATATTTCTGAAATTAACAATTTTCATGTAAAACAAAGTCAAATGAACATCAAAATATAGGTGATTTTTTTATCCTTTTTTTATTTGGTTGGCAATGGAAACAAATTCTAGGAACAATGATAGAAGTGGATATTCCTTAAATTGACAATTTTTACGTAAAACAAAGTTAAACGAACGCTAAAAAACACTTTTATTTCAACATTTTCCACGTGAAAAATTATACCAATCAAACACTATAATTTACAATTCTTAGGAAAACAATTTCTAGGTAATTCAATTCCCTAGAATTCATTTTCTTTCCACCCAAATTTCATCTTTACAATCAAACAGACCCTTAGTATTAGGATTACAATGAAATTTATATCATGAACCTTTACCTCGTAATTTATTTATTTTTGACATTCAAAACAAGTTTTCAATTCTTAAATGATTGACATGTTTTTTTTCTCTACAATTACTTAATGACTAATTGTATGAATGTTATGGATTGTTTTATCCTCGAAAGATAGAAAATAAATTAGACATAGTATCAATTGTCTTAGAATTCGATAGGAAATAGAAATATACCACTACCCTTTATATGATCAAGTATTCATAAATGTTTAATGCTTTTTTATATGTTCATATCTGTCATAAAAATATAGTCGAGTCACATGTAAAAATATATTTAATTCTACTCAAGAGAAATTGTTAAATAAATTAGGGGATAGAAATATGGGAAAAATTCATATTTGAGGTGTATTCTTTACACCATTTCAAAAATCAGGTAAGAAGTTTGAAAATTCAAAATTCAGGTTTGTATTCAATTAATTAAAAATATTTATCAAATAAATATATTAAAGTCACAGTTAAATGATTAATGGACACAGATTTATTTATTAGTCACATATCATCAAATTAATTTGTCATAAATTTATTTACTGGTCACATATAAAAAATTTTATAGGTTACAAATAATTTCGAGGTCACGGATAAAAAATTTTAGAGGTCACAAATTTTTTTTAGCCACGAATTATCAAATTTCAAGATCACAGACCAAATCATTAAGGTCACAGATTGTTAAATTTTAAGGTCATATGCCTAATCGTTGGTCACATATACAAAATACTCCATTGTTGAACCCAGTCCACCACCAATGATTGGTCACAGAGCAACTAAATGGTCACCACCACCACCACCACCAACAATGCCCCCACCACTAGATCCAACACATTGCCAACAAATTACCACAACTACCACTATCATATCCATACACACAGAACTCACACAAATAAGCACAAATACACCACAGATCGGCCACCTCCACCACCTATGCCAACGATCGTCGTCACCGCCGTAGCCACAACAATAATCCTAAAACCACCGAAAACATAAAATCGCTGCAGCCTCGATCTGTGCCATCACCATGCTGCTACAGCCATCACGAACAGTACCGCGCCGAGATCTTCGTTCCCCCCACAAAATTGCAGACAAAACTAGGACACCATCACAGAGCGTCGCTCCACCTTCCCCGATGGCGCCCCTGCAAGACGTCGATCAACCGGCTAGAATAGAGAGGGTGTGAGTTGGGAGAGGGATATAGATAGAATGGAGAGAGGGAGGTAGAAGGGAGAGAGATATAGGGTTTGCTATATGGGAGTTGAAATTGGCTTCTATTGTGTTTTAATTTAATATTTAAATTTATAATAATTAAATTGAAACATGAGATTTGCATAAACAACTTTGGAACCTGACTCTTGTACTGGGATCTCCAAATACCTGGGATTCTGTAATTTCCTCTAGAAATATATTGCTATACTTTACGTAGAGTCAATTGTTTGGAGCCCAATAGTGGGTAGAAATCTGCCGCTATGTTTTACGTGATCTTTAAGTATTCATAAATTTTTAACGCATTTTTATATGTCTGCATTCGTCATAAAAATATAGTCAAGTTACATGTTTGAATATGTTTAATTCTGCTCGAAGGATATTGTTAAATAAATTAGAAATATTGATTTTTGTAATTGAATCTTGTTGGTAAATTTATAAATTTCGGGTTAAAGGGGATTGATATAAATAGATTAATCCTAGTATGCTTTTTATCATCATATTTTTATAAACCTTACATTTAATCATAATCTTGTATTTATTTTAATTAAGATAGGTTTTGCATTCATAAATAGATTATTTAATCTATAGAAAAAATTTCAAATTTTAAATGTTTCGGTTAAGACTAAGTTAATTCGAATTTGAACTAGTACAATTTTTGTGGGAACGATATTTGGATCAAAATCTATTTTACTACTTGTTAACAAACCATGAACTTCCTGTATTTTTTTATCGAACAATATTTCGTCAACAATTGTGTAAAATTGGATGTAAATTAATATCTCGAAAATCAATTTTACAGTTTCATTTGCATCCACTTGGATATATATCTAATTTTTGTTTCAATGGAAATATCTAAATTCACTTTTTATCACTTGTGGATGTAAAAAAAAATATTTTTATGTCAAAATACATAATTTGAATATCTCCATTGGAGATATTTTCGATTACTTTAGAGATTTAAAATCTCTATTTTAATCATCATTGGAGATATTCTTAACATTAAACTTGTAAAAATGACGAAATCTTAAGTGAAAAAAGAGCATCATCATCATATATAAGAAATAACTAGGGTTGGCAACGGTTCGGTTATGGGTCAGTTCGGCCAAAATTATAACCGTACCACCAATTTTTTGACTACATCATAACCGCACCATAACCACGTAAATCGGTTTGATTCGTATCTCGATTCGGCCCAGTTCGGTTCGATTAATAACAACGAAAATATATTATTTTTTGTAGGTTTATTCGTTAAATTGATATAAAACAATTTATGAAAAAAGTCAATGAAAACAAAAACACAATATTCCAAATAAAAATGCAAATATTATCAAACAACATTACAGACGAAAATGCAAACATTATCTCAATTTTCAATTGCAAAATACAAATTTAACAAACAATATTATAAATTGCTACTTAATTGTTATACATCGAAGTTACTTAATTTATTTTTCTCCACAAGTCGTACTAGCATAGATCAACACTCAAAGTTGATTCCTATATAGTAAATAAGAAATATAAGTAGAGAATACAACGATACTACCTATTCCAGAATGGTTTTAACTAAGATTTAAATAAAAAAATGTACCTCTTCATCAGTTTCCTTTTCACTAAACGTTGCACAAACTCTAGAGTATGATGAAGGAGTAGAATTTTCTACATACAATAGAAAAAATTAACAATAAAATGAAGTGTATAAATAACAAATATAAAACAATAAATCCTACTATGAAATATCAGTTCAAAGCCAATCCCAAGCACACATGAAAGTTTCTAGAGTCTTTGGGTGAAGCCTATTTCTATATGGACTCACAAATCTACCACTTGTACTAAACGCTGACTCGAATGCCACACTAGATACTGGAATGACTAATAAATCTCTTGCAACCTTCTGTAAAGTCGGATATTTTGTTGAATTTGCTTTCCACCATGACAATAAATCAAAACCATCCATCCTTAGCAATATTGGCTCGTCTAGAAAAATATCAAACTCTATTTTTACATGATCAGCAGTAATAGAATGGCTAACAAATGTAACAAATTTTCGGAGGCGACGACGACTTGAACCGTGGAGGCAGTGGAGCCATGCGTGAGTTTATGATTTGTGGAGAGTATGGTTTGCATTTATATACTATCATACTAATGCTATTATTATGGGCTAATAGTAAGTGGGCTGGCTGTCTGAGTCAGATAGATGTAATGGGGGGGATTTTGTTTTGGGTTGGATAGAAAAGTAGTGTAAAGTCTAATAATCAATTCAACCGTGTGTGTTTTTTTTAGCAGATAATCGATTTGATTTCGGTTCAACGGTGTAAATATCATACCCACACCGCCACGAATCGGTTCATTAAAATTAAAATTATATCTGCCCCATTGCACCATCTGTTCGATTTTTTCGTCTCATTCGGTTTGGTTAACCGCGATTTTCGATTTTGACGGTTCAAATTGCCATCCCTAGAAATAACCATCTCTAGAACATTTTTTAGTTGCATGTGTTATCTCATCATTAAAATTTTTATCCAAGTGTTTCTTTCTATGAATAATATGTTTATCATGAAACGTATGTTTTGAACAACAATTTCTTTAATGGTAATCTTATCAGATTCAAATTCAGTTTCTCGTTATCTTTTAAAAAATAAAATAAGTGTTTCAAGTGATTAATAATAGCATCGAATCAAAGAGCTCTTGGTTCTCTACTTAAATTATTGTCCAAGTGTTTATTAATCATCTATTGTGTTTCGGTAGATCAAGGTTTGCAATGTGAAGGTAGTTTTATAGCTCCAAACCAAACAATAAGAGTGATGCTCACTGAACAGCCTTCAAGTGATTCTTCACAACAGAATATAGAGGAGTTTTTCTTTTCATTTAAGTCCAAGCCAATGTTTGTAACCATTCGTAACTTAGTGGATTGTTCTTGTTGGGCATGGCCTACGGATGCAGACAATCGATCAGTGATCAAGCAAAATTCGTAAATATACGAAATTGTTGACGTAATAAAAAAAATTATCGTCCTACAAAGAATAAATTATAATTAAAATATACTAGTCTCTATCCAATTCAAATTATCGTAACACGAGATTGTTTCTTAATTAGTCTATGAAGTATGGGAGAGCGTTGGATTGTAAACTTATAATGGATGATTATATTTGACTTATGAATCCACCTATTGTTATTTATTTTCGATAACTATTTAATTTTCTAAAATTCAAATGCTCACTACTAGATTTAAAAGTTTATTCATGCGTGATGATTAAAGTATTTTCGACTTTAATATTGCTAAATTTTGCTTGGGTGAAATTTTTGACAAATAATTAAGTTTTCTATATATGGGGAAAATATTCTTACTTTAGATGGAACAAACGCAATTATTGTATCACTAGAATCAAGCCATAATTCATGTTTTATTTTCTATATAATGAAGAAAATCCTTACAAAGAGGTCATTCAGTCAAAACATTGTCATGGAATCAAAGGTTACCTCTCGACTCCATTGCTTAATATTCAATTTCTTTTGGATTTTGTTACTTGTACATAAAAATGATACATAAGAGATTACATAAAATGATGTGGAGAAAAAAAGATTGGATAAAAAAGTTGACTATGTTTTAAACTGACAAATGATAAAATGACATATGACATTATGTAATTCATTATGTAACGTTTGACATACATGTAGTATGGTTCATTTCTTTTCAGTTTTACTTCCGCCTTTGGAGTACGAGAATTTTGTTGCTTAGACTCTTCTCATTGCTTTGGGGGTGTTCAAGCTTTCTAGATTTTGAAAAAGTTTTCTGGTTCAAAACATCTGCGGTACGATTTTGAGAAGGTGAAGGATACGAAATTCTTAATCTGTTCTTGGATCATCTTGATCGATGGAGATGAGCGATTGTGAGATCCGTGTTCGACGGTCCCTTGTGGTGCGATCTCTGAGTTTGGGTGTGGTGAACGTGGAAGAACAATTAGTATTATCCTCTTTTGGGCTCCAATAGGCCTAAAACAATTTTTTTTTGGGTAAAGCCTGTTTAATTAAAAAGGCTCAATTTCCCGCAGTCCATGGGCCGTTTAGTGACCCGACCCGACTTCTTGAATCAATGATAACCCATTTACATTTTATTCATATTTCCAAACCCTTGCAAGTTGAAATCTTGAATCACGTCTCTCTCTGCTCTCAACCGGTCGACCCTCCGCACGCCATTGCCGCTTCTCGCCAGTCGGCAGTTGGCAGTTGCTACTCCAAGTCGCAAGCGCCGACTCAACTTCCAGTCCACCGCCAGCAGCTACGAGGCGCGAGCCTGCGACGCCGCCTGCCACTGCTTCTGCCGACCCAAGCTGGAAGCTGCCCAAGTCCAACGAATGAACGAAAGAACTGATTCAACGAAGAACTAAGAAGTTGATTGAAGGTTACCTTGCTTACCTAATGTATATTTCAGTGAAGATGGAGTGTGGAAAATTCTGAAAATTGAAAATTGTATTTACGGCTCTTGCCTCTCGGGTCCTGCACTTTTGCTTAATTTATGAATGTTAGTGTTACTGGTTAATTATTGATGGGTCTCGTGGGTTTATATTTGATATTTCTATTGTGGAATACTGGAATTGGAAATGCTGTTACTCTGTTAGGTCACTTAGGTGTAGAGAAATTGATTAAGAGTTCGGTAGAGAAATTGGAAATTGATTAGGCGTAGAGAAATTGGAAATGCTGTTACTCTGTTACGCTGAATTTAAAAATTGAGCCAACTGCAAAGAAGATAGTAACTGATTTTCAGATTTTGGCAATTGTGAAGTTAGATTGTCATCAATTTTTGGATCATAATAAATTCAGAAATGTAATTTGCTGAATTTTTTTGACAGCCTTCTGCCTTCTCCAGTTCAGGCAGTTCTCCAATTCTCCATATATTTCTCGAATGGTGCTGCACTCGCTCACTAGACCATTCCAATTTCTAGGTACTGCATCACTTAATGTGAAATTGTGAAATTGTGAATTTATGATCCTTTTGTCATTATCAATTATTCTCACTCACTTCAAGTAATAATTGGATATCAAATGTTTAAATCCAGATATCAAATGAATAGATACTTTCAACGAAAAGGGAACGTAGATAGTGTTGATGAGGGGGTATCGAATAATGTGGATGTTGATGAGGGGGCATCGAATAATGTCGAGTTTGATGTCACAAAACTTCCAACTGATCCTGGTCTAAGGATACCAATTTTGGATTACAATGCTAACATCCGAGATGAAGTTCGAAGAGCATATATGTTAAAGGGTCCTTGTCAGCCCCAAGATCATGACTTTCCAAAACGACAATTTGGAGTAAAAATTAGATGATTCAATCCTTCGTGGTTTAAAGAGTTCGGTAGTTGGTTGGAGTACAGTGTAGAGAAGGATGCTGCTTATTGTTTGTATTGTTATCTTTTCAAAACAAGTTCTCGAAAGCAAGGTGGAGGTGAGTCTTTTGTTGGCGAAGGTTTTACATATTGGAAAGATAAAAAAGGCTTCATACTCATGTTGGACTTCATGATAGTGCACATAATCAAACTCACATTAAGTGTGAAATATTAATGAATCAAGAGCAACACATTCAATCAGTTTTCTACAAACAGTCAGAACAAGCAAGAAATGCATATGTTACACGCCTTAATGCATCAATTGATTATGTTTAAGTTCTTTTGCGACAAGGGCACTCATTTCGAGGTTATGATGAATCTGAGGATTCTTCCAATCCAGGTAACTTCTTAGTACAATTGCAATTTTTGGCTGCTCATAAAGAAGCTATCAATGCCGTCACATTGGGAAATGCTTCTCACAATTGCAAATTGACATCACCTGATGTTCAAAATGATATAGTAAATGCTTGTGCTATTGAAACAATCAATGTTATTATCAAAGATGTTGGCGATTCACTATTTTCTATTCTAGTTGATGAATTTTGTGATGTGTCAATGAAGGAGCAAATGTCTATTGTTTTACGTTATGTAGACAATAGTGGGCATGTCAATGAACGCTTCATAGGGATTGAACATGTTACAAGTACCACAGCTCTATCACTTAAGGATGCAATTGATAAGGTATTTTCTAGATATAACTTGAGTATGTCTAGATTGAGAGGACAAGGTTATGATGGAGCAAGTAATATGCTAGGTAAGTTTAATGGTTTGAAAACACTCATTTTGAAGGAGAGTTCATGTGCCTTTTACATTCACTGTTTTGCTCATCAACTCCAACATGCGCTTGTGGCTGTGGCAAAGAAGAACATCCTTATTACTAATTTCTTTCGTGTGGTTGGGAACGTGATAAATACTGTTGGAGCATCTTCTAAGCGTTGTGATCTTCTTCGAGAAAAACAATTAGACTTTATTGTTGAGGCATTGGAAAAAGGTGAGATTTTAAGTGGACGGGGACTTAAATCAAGAAACGACCCTTCAGCGCTCTGGTGATACATGATGGAGTTCACATTATAATTCTTTGGTTAGTTTGCTTGCCATGTTCTCTTCTGTTTTAGATGTATTTGCAATGATTGTTGAAGATGAATCTTGTTCTTGTTCTTGTAATCAAAGATCTGATGCAACAAATTTATTGGAGTTGATACAAAGATTTGATTTTGCATTTAATCTACAGTTGATGAGAAGTGTGTTTGGGATGTCAAATGAACTGTCAAAGGCATTGCAAAGAAAAGATCAAGATATTGTGAATGCAATGCAATCGGTGAGATTGTGCAAACGACGACTCCAAATAATGAGAGACGAAAGGTGGGACTTCTTTTTTGAAGAAGTATGTTCTTTTTGTCAACAACATTACATTCATGTACCCAACATGGATGATATGTTTGTACGCCTTGCAATTCATGGTCGCCCTCAGCGTAATTCTCCAAAAATTACAAATTTACATCATTATCGAGTAGATTTGTTCTACTCTGTCATCGATTTACAACTTCAAGAATTGAATGATCGTTTCTCGGAGGTAAATACAGAGTTACTCCTTTGTGTAGCTTGTTTATGCCCACAAGATTCATTTTCTTCTTTTGACAAGAAAAGCTTAATTAGACTTGCTGAGCTTTATCCATTAGATTTCTCTGCAGTAGATGGCATTTTACTTAGCGATCAACTTGAGACTTATATTTTGGACATGCGCTCTAACAAAGAATTTGAAAAGTTGAATGACCTTGGTGATCTTGCGGAGAAGTTGGTTTTGACAAAGAAAGATAAGGTATATCCATTGGTTTACAGACTTTTAACTTTAGCATTGATTTTACCGGTTGCTACCGCTACTGTGGAGAGAGTTTTTTCTACAATGAACATCGTAAAGAATAGATTGCGCAATCGGATGGGTGATCAGTGGATGAATGATAGCACTATTGTTTATGTAGAGAGAGATATATTTTTGAAAATCGATAATGAAGTTATTGTACGACGATATCAAAATATGAAAACTCGCAAGGAACAAGTTTAATATATAAATTATGTCGTTTTTAGTGTTGTTGTAATATTGTTTTAATTTTTTATCATCATTAAATCTATGACCAAAACCTCGAAATTCGGCGTCGAAAAATGATGCCCGCACTAAACATAAATCCTGGCTCCGCCCCTGTCCTCTAGTGCAGTGAGCGTGAAGATAACATTTGGGCATTTTTTTGGGCCTATTATGATTTTGGTGTGTTTGTTTGTTTTCTTTTTGTTGTGGGCTTCCGTGATTTTGGTGTTGTTAAGACTTTTCTTCCCCACCGGTTTAGGCTATATTTGATATTTTTGTAGTCCACTATTTTGAAAGAAGATCACCGGTGAACGGCTTGTACTCATTTGGTAGACTAAGGACATGTGGGGACAACTGAAGCATATATACTATCAAGATAATACTGCAAAATGATTTCAATCGGAGCTCGGAATTGGAAACTGCAGTCAAGGTAATCTCTCCATTGAGCAGTATTATTCTGGATTTCTTAATTTATGGAGCGAATATTTTCGTATTATCTACACTAAGGTACCTAAACAGAATTTAATTGTCCTTCAAGCGATTCATGATGTTAGTAAGCGTGATCAGTTTTTTATGAAACCGAGATTTGAATTTGAGATTGCTTTGGCTGGATTGTTGAATTGAGATCTGGTCCATTTTGGGATGTGTGTCTTGATGAGTTGTTGCACGAGGAACAAAGAATGGCAACACAAGCTGTCGTGGGCACTACTAATATTGGAAATCCTAATCAGGTCATTTGGCCATATTTTACTTGATTTCTAAACGCAAATATTAGTAAATACAAGTTCTTTTTGTCCGAGTTTAAGATTTTTCTCAATGTTCTCAAAATGGGACCGGATCGGTAGATTCGACCGGAAAAATTGGAAACCGGACCGAGATCTGATCCTATCATACTATAGAAATCGGATGCCAAGAAACCGGTGTAAAACTCGGAAAACCGTCCGGTTCAAACCGAAAATCGGTGAACCGGTCACGGTTTTTTGGGTTATTATTTTGTTTTAAAAAATTAGAACATATTGAGGAAGAAGAAGCTGCCTTTCTTTGGTTGCTAATAGTCGTCGGAGCAACCTTTGCACAAAATTTTCAATCAAAATGTTCAATATTCAAATGTAAAATCATCTTAAAGAAATACAAGTATTTATCTCATAGATGCGAAATACATATATTTGTAAATGTGAGAGAGGACAAGAGGTGTCAAAACATTAAAAAATGAACCCAGAAATTCTGGACAAGATGCGACAAAATGGTAGAAGAGGAAGAAAATGACTCGAACTTCTGGACAAGATGCAGCTGAACATAAAGAAAAGGGCAATGCTTGGCGCTGAAATAGTGCCCTCCAATAGGGGGCGCTTGTGGGCCCGATGCCCCCTCCAGTAAGAGGCGCCAATTAGACCCCCTATTTGGACTGGGCCATAGAATTACCTTGAAGAAAATGAAACTTTGTACCTTTATATTTTATAGGATTTGTGCATATGGACTATAACAATGTTTGGCCCAGTTAGTTTAACTAAATTCCTATATTAATAATAAATTTTAAATAATGAATTTTAAAAATTATGTTTCAACTAATAAAATTTTTAATGTAATAAATTTATTTATTTATTTAATATTTTAAAATATAGGATAATCTCGATTTGATTCGGTTCAACCTTTTGACCCTTTCAAATTGAACATGCAATGTATAAAACTATATAATAGACTGAGAAAGTGAAAAAAAAATACATTTAATTTTGATAACAAAGTATTTTGAGTACAAGCTGACTTTGTCTATATTAATTGATCAATCTTATCAAATTCACACAAATTTCCCTTTTCACCCGTACATTTATTTTTCAAATTCCCGATGGTGGGTAAACTTGAATTCGTTATAGTTTACAAACTTCAATATTCTTTCAACTCGTATGAGAGTGGGCTTAAATTGATTTTGGATTAAACTTTCAAGCTTCCGTTCTTTGACGAGCGACTTTAAGCCGTTTGTACAGTCAACTTTTCTTATTTTCTTTAGATATCATTGCATAGTCAAGTTCTTTTTCCTTGATTTGTATATTTTTTCGACCAAATATTTTTTTCTTTTGATTAATGAATTTGGGGGGTTTCAGACTAATTCAAATTTTGTTGGACGTTGGCTGTTCATGTTGCCTAAATTCTCCATTTGTCTTAATCAATTTGGGACTTCTGAAAATTCATTCATGTGGACATCTCATATTTTTCTATTTCTGACAGGCAAATGAACACGATTTGATTTGGACGATTTGTGACAAAATTTTCAAATCACATCACTTAAAGTGGTTTGAAATTTTTCCAAACTAAACCAAACTACTCTAATTTTTAAACCAAACCAATTCAAACTATTTTGTTTTTCGATTTGATTCGATTTAAAACCACAATTTAATAAAGAAAAAATATATTGAATAAGTTAAATTAGAAATATTAGTCTAGACTTTCACCTTAGAACATAAATAGTATCATTAAAAATATTACCAACTAAAGTTCTATAGTTTTAAACATTATAATACAACAACATGATAGAAATATTTTTAATCTCTCAGTCGATACTAATGGCGCAACATTAGTAAAAGCATAATTTATTCCCTCTATAAAAATAAAAATATTGTACATAAATTCATTAATTATAATTAAATAATATAAAACAACTAATAAATAAAAAGATCAAATACAATAATACATTCTATAATTTTCTGTAAATTTTTTAATGCTTCTATCTCATCCAAAACTTTGTAAATCATTATAGGTTCCTTATTACTATGCAACCAAATTTTAAGGCAGGTCACCACCTCAACCACATTTGTACTCAACGAGCTTCTATAGGAATTAAGAATTCGACCACTAATAGGGAATGTGGACTCAAAAACAATTGTGGATATTGAATAACTAACACATTTGTAGTAATCTGGGCAACAATCTTGTATCTATTTGCATTAAATTTTCATCAAAGTAATATGTCGAAAAACTTATTGATCAAATCTTCAAAACAATCATTTAAGTAATCACTAAATCAATCTAGCAATTAATAGTAAAATCTAGAAACTAATTTAAAATGTAAATAATTAATCGAGGGACCTACCCAACAAAATTGAGACGCAAATAAATAAAAGATGATGTCTACTAAAATTTAAGGGAGCTCGGTACAAATTAGAATAAAACAACAAACTATCGATAATACAAAAAAAAAAGGATAATCTGACCTGAAAAATTAGACAAATTCGAGAAAAATATTAGTAGTAAGAAAAGAAATATGTAAGTTTGAATAACAATCTAGATTTAATTGTCTACTCAATTGTAATGATTAGTCGTTGAATATAGTTCAACAATAATTGTTCAACAATCAACTTAATTTGAGAGTTTTACATTCACATTTGGGATGACTGATGGGTATTTGGGTATGATATAATTAATTATTGGGATGGATAATTGTTTATTTAGGTATTGAGCTTCATGATGTTATGTCTAATGTGGATGTGTTTAGTTTTAATTAGGTTGGATAAAATTTAAATTAATTTATTTTCAATTTTTTGGAAAACGGACTGTTTGAAACGGTTTGTAAAGATTGAAATCTAAACCAAATCACTTCCAAACGGTTTGGTTCGGTTCAAAACAAAAATATTAACGAATCCACGTGGATCCAAACCAACTGTTTCCAAAAAGTGATTTTGGTTTGATTTTGCAGTTTGATGGTTTCTTTGTTCAGCTACACTAATAGCGGATGAATTTAATTGGGTTGGTTGGACTTGAATCATCTTTCGATATATATATATATATATATATATTTTTGGCTTAATCTGGATTTTGTTTCTTTCCTTGGTTGTTTTAGATTGGTGATTAGGGCATTGATACCCTTGTTTGGAAGAAAATCCCTATTATTTTTCATTAAATTGCATTAGCCTCCTTGTGTGGCAGCGTTCCGATTTAATCAGTCTTTTTCTCCTTCATCTTTGAGTGAAGAAAAACATGGTCTATCCTTAATAAGTCGGGTTACTAAACATGTTTGAGATTCTTGTTTTGGCCTTATTCATCATTCTTGTGGTTATCTCCTTCAAGTCTTGGCGGTGGTTCGACAAATTGGTGAATAATGACTTTTCTTTCATACCACTTTTCGAGTTATTTTTTTTTTTTTTGGTTGGCATGCAATCAATTTTGTAGTCCTTGTGTTAGCTTTTGAAAGTTTAGTTATTTTATCATAATATCAAAAATACAATAAAGTAATCTTTCTTATTACCATATTTCTTTGAGCAAACGAGGGAAAAATTAAGTAAAAAATACACTAATGTTCTTATTCAAAGTAAGAATAAGAAAACACAAACTGGCTAAAAAAGTTTTAAATCTGCATCAAAGATAAAAATGAAATTATATTTATTTCAAAATTTTGAAAATAAAATTTATTTTTGTCTATAAGAAGGTTTCTGTAAGTTTTAAAAATATATAATATTATTGTGATTCTCATTGTCAAATACATGAGAATTGTCTGTGTAATTCTCTCCATTATATATTTACGAAGAATCTAATATAAAGCATTCAACAAAATGATTAAATCAGCATTTGAACTTTGAAGTCAAAGGAATATATGATTTCTTAATCATATACTGATAACGGTTAATAATAGTGTTTGGTGGAAATTAATTGACTTTATTTAAAAAAAAAATTTAATTTTAATAATAATTGAACTTAGTTGAAATAAATTTAATTTTAATGATCTTATTGACCTAAACATAAAATGTAAGGGTAAAATGAAAAATAGAAGATACAAGGATAAATAAGCGTATATTGGACCTATAACTAAATATGTAAGGATAAAATTGATAATCAAAAGTTTCTCTTCAATCCTCACTTTTAATATATTGTAGATTGATTAGAGAACAATATCTATGACGGAGAATAATATATTAGAAAATTTGAAATATAAATAGCTAGCAACAATTGACTCATGATAGCTCCGGATTAACAAATGTTAATGGACTCTCAAGTCAGAGGACACATTTTTTATCCACTTAATGACAATATGCAGCGAAATTTAAGAATTTTCTCCCCTAAATAATTATGAAAACATAATGTTATATTTTAAAATATATTGATAAAATCACGACTAATTTTTATTGACCAATCATTGGATAAAACACCCCAGTGGTGGCAAATTGCATACAATAGACATGGGAAGAATAATTATTTAACCTTTTCCGTTTGAATTACTTCATTTATAATTCAAATTTTCAATTTAATTTTGTTAAAATTATCGTTATTCAGTTTTTGCTATTAAGCAAGATTTCACTCTAATCATGAGAATTCGATCTATGAACAAGCTTCTATAGATAGATATCATGTGAATTTGTCACATCAATATTTTCGTTAATAATTGACGAATATAGTTGAAATGATTAACTTAAAACATATTGAAAACTTGATTACTCATTTGCAACGAGACAAAAGAAATTAGTGACTAAATCAAAACAACACTATGAATCCGACGACTTTGATATGTGAAAATGTTTGTACAAATAGACTCTATATCAATTTGAAACATTACAATTTTTCATCGATATTTTTGAGGGACATAGATGAAGTGACTAATTTGAAACAAATTTCAGAATGAAAGAAAACATTAATAACGA